GAACGATTCCTTCCCAATATCCCATTTAACCCTGCCATCTTTCAGCTTAAAACCATTTTCTCTTGTCCTGTCCCTCCATCCTTTGTCCCCAGTTCCTCTCCAGCTCTCCTGGAGCCCCTTTAGGCACTGGAAGGGGCTCTGAGGTGTCCCTGGATCCTTTTCTTCTCCAAGTGAACACCCCCAGCTCTCCCAGCCTGTCACAGAGGAGCTCCAGCCCTCTGAAGTGACTTGCCTAAATGGTCACTGAAACACCCAGTATGCTGGGGGAGAAAATGAATGGCAGAACTTTTTTTAAAAATTGCAGGGAGACCACAGAGGAGCTTATTCTATTCCCATGTGGTCACACCTCAGCGGGGATTTATTTTTCCCCCCCAGGTGTAAAAGCAGGAGTTGTGTGAGCACCGATCATTTAGGTGAGCGCATTACAAACACTCCCCTAATTTAGCCCGTGCTGAAATAGCCCAGGCCAGTTAAATGCATGGTATTGCTGAGAATCTTTATGTTTGAGCACATTGCAAAAGCAGTGGGTTCTCTTGTTGAAGAGCCTCAACAAAGGAGGGCAGTTATGTGCTCAGAGTCACTCCAAGCAGCGAACACAAAAATACCTCAGTGAATGGCGTGCCTGGGAAAAGCAGGGCAAGTGCTCTGCCTTTGTGGTCTGGAGCCCTGTCCTCACCAGGTCGTGTCAGGCAAGAGCTGCTGGCGCAGGGAGCACCTCCAGGACAGCTTTTTAGAAGGGCACAAAGTGAAAAATGAACGAGGAGAATGATTCACCCAACTCTCCCTGGCAAGCAGGACCAGGGCTCGCTGTGTGAGGACAGAGGCGGGTTTGGGTTTGATTTTGGCGACCACGAAATGGTAAAACAGCATCTGATTTGTGGTTTTGGAGGTCAAAGCCAGCGTGCCTGAGTGTGACTCCACTCCTCATCCCACAGCATGCAGGCTCTGCTTGTGTTCTCATGGGGGATTTCCCTGCATCCCACACAAAACTTGAATATTCTGAGACCCTGGACCGCTTCCATCCCTTGGCATCGTAACATTGCAACAAGCACCAATTTTCTTGTTTCTCTCCCGTGCAATTGAAGAGTCGAAATCTGTGATGAATATATTAACATTCATTGAATTATAGAACAGATATTTAGCATTTTTCCTGAAGGATCCTAAAATGCTTTGCAGACACTTTCATATATCACTACACAAATGCAGCTGCTTTTGCTTCATGCTTAGATTTAATTTGAGATGAAGGAAGAGAATTTGCTCTCTTATATCACGAAATTGCAGAATGGTTTGGGTTGGAAGGGACCTTGAAGCTCATCTCATTCCAAACCCTGCCATGGGCAGGGAACTTTCCACTGTCCCAGGTTGCTCCAAGCCTTGTCCAGCCTGGCCTTGGACACTTCCAGGGATCCAGGGGCAGCCAGTTTCTCTGGGAAACCTATACCAGGCCCTCACCATGCTCACAATGAAAATTTTTTTCCTAATATCCCATTCTAAACCTATACTGTGCACAGTGCTTTTTACAGGAGGACACATGATGAGTATGAGCAGAGAATTTTGTTGCATAAACCCAGATTACAAGTGCATCCAATGCCCTTCTAACACTTCTGGTGGCCTCAGGCTGAGAGGTGAGCTTTGCTGAATCCACAGTCTGGCTGCACCGTTGGAATTTGGAGGTGCGAGACCAGATCCACATTATCTTTTTGGACCAGCTGGGTGCCCCACCATGCAGTCCTGTGGGTTTGCATCCTCCTTTTCTCCTGAAATGAAAAACCCTCCAAATATTCAGGGTAAAAAAGATGATGAAATATCTATTCTGAGGCTCATGAAGGCAGGGGAATTGGGTGTGGCTGCTTCCTCCACTCTCACAGCTCTTTCTCACTCCTGAGCCAAGATTCATTTCCATGAGAAAAATTAATTTCCCTGTGCTCTTCCCTCGTGGAAAACGGGGTTGTGAAGGGTCCCTGTAGCTCAGTTCTCCTGGAAAGCAGCTCCTGCCTTCCTTCTCCTCTTCCCACTGCTGCTCCTGTTGCCCCAGCCCTGAGCAGGGATTGTTAATCAAGGCCATAATCAGCCTCTTGCAGGTCTGTTGTTTTCCAGACTGGTGCTCCCTGCTTTCCACTTCCTGTGATTTTTTTTTCCTGTCTCTAGCAAAGCTGCATCCATTTGAAAGCTCCTGTTCCATCTTCCCCTTTCTTTAAGATGTATTTGTGCATTTTTTTTTTCCTCTTTTGTAATCAAAACAATCTCTAAGCCCTGCCAGGATCAAGATCTCTCTGGGTGATTTCAAATGCACTGTGAGAAAGATCTGGACCTGAAGAGACCTAACTTGTAAAATGTGCTCAGTGAAAACCCTTCAAATTCAAAAGCTGCTTCCAGTGTCCATGTTGGATGTTAAAGAGGCTGGATTCCAGGCTGGAAAGGGTCAAACACCACTTTTAGAGCGTTGGAGCAGCTGAAGTTGTTCTTAGTCCACAGACAGCAGGAGAGTGGTAACATCTGGAGAGTCTGGCATGGATTACCCAGAGGAGCTGTGGATGCCCCAGGAACCCTGGAAGTGTCCAAGGCCAGGCTGGACAGGGCTTGGAGCATCCTGGGATAGTGGGAGGTGTTCCTGCCTGTGGCAGGAGGTGGCACTCGATCTTTAAGATCCCTTCCAACCCAATCCATTCTGTCATTCCATGATTGGTGGCAGAGTGAGCTCCAGAATGCAGTTAAAGGTGGCTGAGACTTCAAAATATCTGAGGCATAAGGGGAAAAATCAAGTTTGTGATACCCCAGGAGGTTTGGGATAACCCTGAAATTTCCTGAGGGATGCCTGTGTCTCCTGCAGTTCCTGTGGAATGATAACAGAGAGAGAAGAGATAACAGGGAGAAGAAGAAGGCCATAAAGGAATTGGACCATGGTACCAGCACCTTGGAGCTGTTCTACCTCTAGGCAAATAATTCACTAATTTTTAGCTTCAAATGTCACTTACTTTGCAGCCTGCTGCACTTCATCCCAGTTTTCTTCACAGCTCCCAAATTTTGTAAACACTGTCAGTACAAAAGGCAAAGGTACTGGAAAGGTTTCTTCCCAAAGTGACTGTGGGAGTTAATTAACATTTAATGACTTGGCTTCACTTCATTTGGGCTGATCTTGTCCGAGTGTGAGACAGGGGACAGATCCTGATGGGGTGGTGCTGATGTGTCACTTGAGAACAAAACTGCAGCCCCAGTGTCCTGGGATATGGTGACTTTCACGATGGTTTTAACTGTTCACAGCCCTCACTGAGCTTTTTTGGAGACAGTTTGGACACTTTCACTTCACCATTTCATTGAAGAGCGTTGTAATTATTAACATCCAGTTCTGATACCTAAAGGAAGAGTTCCTTTGAGGCTGGAATTTGTGTATTGGAGACAGATGGGTGAACTGCTGAAGATAATCAGAGGTCAGCTGGTTAAGCCTTATTTTTTTGAATAGCCTTGTTGGGGTTAGAGAGTGCTTTCTTAAAGCGTATTTACTGCATAATCTGTGCAGATGAGTGTAAGAGAGCCTTTGAAGGAATTAGTGAAATTCAGCTGAGACTGCTTTGCATTCAGGCAGTAGAGAGCTGCTGAAAAACCCAAATGGCTGAAGGATGACCCTAAAAACACATTTTAACCTCCTTTTCCACCTGCCAGCCTGATCTGTGACCTCACCACGGCCTGACAAAGTGGAGTTCTTGTGAAATGTGCTTCAGCTTTTAAGAGGGGGTAGTTAAGATCACTTTTGCTCCAGAAGAATGATAGGAAAATGCTGACACTCCTCATTTTTTGAAGGAAAAAGAAGAATCTGCATCAAAATGTGAAGTGATGGAAGGTGGAGAAATCATGCTGGAAAAATAGCAATTTATTGGGAGTGTTCCCACAGCTAATGCTGGGATTGTCATCCTCTCAATGTGCCTGAGAAGGTTCAGTGGAGTTCAGTGTCCCAGCAGGGCAGCACTTCCAGTCTGTCTGTCTGTCTGGAAAACCCTGAGGCATCTCTGACAGAGCCACAGAGGCGCTGATTTACTCCTTACCTCTTCTGGGTAGGAGCAAGTGGCAAATTAATTGGGGCTTGGTGCAGTAGCTTGTGCTGCACTGAGGAAAATCTTCCTTCAGAGAAAGGTTTCAGGATTTTAGGTGTCAGGACAGGCTTAGAAGGAGCAATTTCAGCAGGTGCTGGTGCCTCTGAGGTTTTCTCTCTGAGGTGGTGTGGGAGAAGGGGTTTTTTCATTCTTCACCCATGGAATAATAGTAAAACTTAAAGAAGAATTTAAACCATCCCATGCATGGGATGTTTGGGATGTTTCTCCCAGTTTGGGACAGCTGTGTGGATCTATGCAAGGGGTTGAATCATGTCCTGAAGAAAGCAAATGGACAGGAAGGATTTAACTCAGCTTTCCTCTAAAGGTGATGCTGGCAGAGGTGCTCAGAAGTGGTGGATGCAGCAGGATCTGCTGGAAGCAGGCAGACCTGCCCAGCAGCTGTCCGGTGGCTCAGGGTGAGCACAGTTGTCCCCACTGCTGGCTCCACAGCAAATCTGACATCCTGCTGCTGTTTATTTTCCCAGCATAAAAACATAAAATATCCCATGAAGACAGGCTGGGAGCACTCGGAGTGTTCAGTCTGAGAATGATCCAGGGAGACCTCAGAGCCCCTTCCAGTGCCTAAAGGAGCTTCAAGAGAGCTGGAGAGGGACCTGGGACAAGGGATCAAGAGACAGGACACAGGGAATGGCTTAAACTGAAAGAGAGTAGATTTAGATTAGAGATTTTAGGAAGGAATTGTTGGCTGTGAGGGTGGGCAGGCCCTGGCACAGGGTGCCCAGAGCAGCTGTGGCTGCCCCTGGATCCCTGGAAGTGTCCAAGGCCAGGTTGGAGCAACCTGGGATAGTGGAAGGTGTCCCTGCCCATGGCAGGGGTGGAATGGGATGGTCTTTAAGGCCCCTTCCTATCCAAACCATTCTGTGATTCCGTGATTCCATATGTGACAGGAATGTCCACTTCATTAACATTCACATCTGTTTTAACTTCCAAGGGTGGTGTCCCTGCTGAGCACTCCCAGAAAGTTTCAGGAAGCAGAAGCAGAGACTTTGTGCACGGCCAGAGAAGATGAAGCATTCTGCATCCATCATCTCTGCACACTGGCTCAGGGTTTCCAGGCCATTTGTGGCCCTGGTTGTTTTCCCCTGCTGCCAGATTTAAACTCCAGCCTCTGGAGCAGTGGATAATCCAGCCTGTGCACGGAGTTCCACGGTCAGGAGGAAACCAGAGCTGCCAGCAGGATTTCAGCAGTTTTTAGCCATGGATCCTCCAACCTCAGAGTGCTGTCCTGTTGCAGGAGGTGTTCCTGTTTTCCCTGACATCCTCCACTGCTGGCTCGTTTCAGGGACACGTTTTCAGGGTATTCCTGCTCTGACAGGGCATCCTGAAGAGCTGTGTTTCCCTCAGCGTTCTCAGGACAGATCTCCTTATTCTGAATCCTCATAATGTGAGTGTCCAAAAAACGACACAAACCCTAAGTGCTGCTTTGTGTTTACAGTTTGTTATCCTGAAGTTCCTTGCTGGGGTACTGCTGCTGGATCCCGCTCTGAAAAATGCTCTAATGCCAACAGTGAGCAGCTAACTTTGTCCTTTGTAAATTTAATTTAGACTTTCAAAGGGCTCTCCCTTGACCTCACGAGTTTAGGGGAAGCTCTGTGAGTGTTTTCCCTGTCACTGTTCCCAACTCAGGTTTATCAGCAATCTTTCCCAGATTTTCATTAAAAGCACTGAGGTCCTAGTGTATAATACTCAAATTAAACCCAGCTGTTTTAATGTCTTACCTGATTTCTCATGCACAATTTTGGTACCTAGAAGAGAACAGGATGACCTCCCTCTAAAAGGAGTATTCATGCCATGAGAAGGAGTACAGATTACACTTTAATTTTAACTTCTGAAGCACCAATCTCTGCTCATGGAATTGGTCTGTTACTGCTCCCCAGGGCACTCTGTGAACTTGTAATGGAGCCCCTGGACATAAATAAATGCTTTAAGCAGTTTAGCTGAAAGTGTGGATCCTCACCTTTCTCCTTTTCCATCCTCTGTCTCTGTTCCTGCCTCCTGCCTGGCACTGCAGTGATTTGAAGGGGTTTGTATCTTATTTCCACGTGGCTGCCTTGGAGATCTTTTCAACCAACTTCCCTCTGGACTCTCTACAAACATTAAAAGATGTTTGAAATTACTCAACCTCAACGGTGCTTGAAATTGAGCCATGTTCTGTTGTGTCAACAAAGTGCTGCAAGTGCTGATGGTAGAGGGCAGAATAAAGGTTTCCAGTTCTGGTGCTGCTGCCCACAAAATTCTCTTATTAAGTGATGTTTCCCCACCTGGGAGCTCAGATGTGCTGCTCTGGTTGCTTATTTGTCCATCTTCCTTTATTTTTTTTTTAGATTCTATAATCAGTGAACAGGTTGAAACAGTTCTGCTGCAGGACTTGCACCTCCTGCCATGGCCATGTCCTGCCATGGACACCTTCTGCTATCCCAGGTTGCTCCAAGCCCTGTCCAGCCTGGCCTTTGACACTTCCAGGGATCCAGGGGCAGCCACAGCTTCTCTGGGAAATCCATGCCAGGGCCTCAGCACCCTCACAGGGAGAATTTCCTCCTAATGTCCCATCTAAATCTCTCTTCCTTCTCCCTCTTTGTCCCATCACTTATCAGCCCATGTAAAAAGTCACTCTCTTGTTCCTTCCCTGCTTGTTTTGTGTGCTTGGATCTACTCAGAAACTGCTTGGGGAAGAATTAAGGGCTTTGTGGGTTATAGAGAATTTGTGATATTATTTGGAGTCTGAATAATTTCACAGTGCCCTACTTGGCAGTGCTGTGTTCTTTATTAGAGCAGAATGTTTCAGAGGTGGAAGAGTATTTCCACTTCCTCACACTTGTGTTGCACATGAAATACATGGAACAGGAGCACTGAAGTGTTATTTGTCCAGTTTTGGTCTCAGATGATGTCGTCCATGAGCCTCTGCTCTGGAGCCAGGCTGGGAGAGCTGGGAATGTCCAGCCTGGAGAGAAGTCTCCAGGGGGACCTCAGAGACCCTGCCAGGCCCTAAAGGGGCTCCAGGAGAGCTGGAGAGGGACTGGGGACAAGGGATGGAGGGACAGGACACAGGGAATGGCTTCCCAGTGCCAGAGGGCAGGGATGGATGGGATATTGGGAAGGAATTCTCAGCTGTGAGGATGGTGAGGCCCTGGCACAGGGTGCCCAGAGAAGCTGTGGCTGCCCCTGGATCCCTGGAAGTGTCCAAGGCCAGGTTGGATGGGGCTTGGATCAGCTGTGTCTGTTGAGTTGTTTCCCTTCCCCTGGCAGGGATTTGGAGATGATATCCAAGTTCCCTTCCATCCCAGACCATGCTGTGTTCCTGGTGTCAAATGGAAAACCTTCATTTTGGCAACGCTGCATTTCAGCGGGTGCAGCACAGGCTCTGTGTCTGTTCTGGCTCGGGGTTTCCTCATTCCTGCAGCAGCTTTGATATTTTGCAGTAAATTCCTGGTCACAGCCCCCTGTCATCTGGTGTCTGAGGGCATCCTTTGAGCAGAGATGAGGACTGAGTTTATTTTTCAGTTCAGAGAGTGTCTGCACTCGGTGAGCAACGTGCTCTGCTGGTGCTGGATCAGACAAAAAAATTCTTTCGCCACTGGTCCCACCTGCCAGTGAAAGCAGCAAATTTCCCTCAGTCTGAGGTCAAAATAAGTAAAATATTTCAAGCACCTGTGATTCCATGACCAAGTCCTGTCATATCACTGGAGCTGCAGATTCCATAGGGGGAGGTTTTGTTGTCTTCCATTTGGGATATCCCAGGAGCAATGCTGTGAGTGCCAGACCTAACAAAGCCTTTGTGTCCTGCAGCTTCTGTCTCACAGTCGCTGCTCTGGGACCCAGGGGGGAATTGCAGAGAATTGGTGGAAGCTTTGTGTGCCATTTAAAGGGCTTTTTACTGTGCAGATCCTTTGGTGCCTGAGAAGGGAGAGGTTCACACTTCCTTTTTTTCCCCAAGGATGAGCATAGAGGAGGATCCACCACCCCCATTCAGCATCAGGGTGAACTTTTGAGGGATTTTGGGCCTTTTTGTTCCATAGGAATTCAGGGTCTAGAGAGGAAGTCCTATGAGGAGCAGCTGAAGGAGCTGGGGGGCTCAGCCCAGAGAAAAGGAGGCTTGGGGGGGATCTTCTTGTAGATGGAGGAAACTCCCCCCAAAAGGTTCCTGTTTCTCCTACCACTTTTTGGAGAGAGGAGATAGACTGGAAATCCCAGAGGATGTGTGGATGTGGGAAGCTGAATGAAAGGGATGTCTTAGGAGGACTGAAAAAAAGTGGGAGACTTCAAGTGAGAACGTGGGAAGGAATGCTGGCTTGGCTTTGTGAGGAGGTTGTGAGTCTTAAATATTTGAGTTCCCAGAAGATGTTTGAGGCTAAAATAAAAAGGGAAAAGAACAGTATGGCAAGTACCTGGTACCACTGGCTTCTGAGCACATGCCCAGTGTCCCAGGGGAGATGATTCTTGCTGAAAGGGGGGAAGTTTGCAAAAGCTTTGGAAGCAGTAAAAAAAATGCATTGAAATGTTTGTCAAAGGACAGCAAGAGTCACTCCTCTAACAATTGCAGGGATTCGGGAGAAACTTCCAAATGCAGCTTTGAAGAGTCACCAGAAGTATTTAGGAGAGCAAGTGACTGACCCTGGAGGCTTGGGCATATAAAATGTCTGTGCTCCAGACTCCAGATGGAGATTCCTACGCAGGGGTCCGTGTGCATCTCTGCCTATTTTGAAAATTATCCATAATTTTCAGTAATTATCTAAATTATTTTCTATGTGTCTGTCTGAAAACAGGATGTAAGGAGCTTGAGGAGCTTAGGTACCTTTTGCCATGTGACAGTGTCGTTCCTGGTATGTGAGGATCATGGAATCACGGAATATCCTGAGTTCAGAGGGATCCATCAGGATCATTGATCCAGCCCCTGGCCCTGCTCAGGCACCCCAACAATCCCACCCTGTGCATCCCTGAGAGCATTGTCCAAACTCTCCTGGAGCTCCCTGGGGCTGTGACCATTCCCTGGGGAGCTGTTCCAGTGTCCACCCTCCCTCTGAGGGGAGAAGGGAAGCTCAGTGGTACCCACAGCTGTAACTTCGTGGTTTCCAAAGAGCTTTGAACACTCCCAGCTGCTGAGCTCCCTCTCTCCCTGTGCCATCCCTGCTTGGAACGTGGCATTCATCTGAAGTATTCATTAAGATGGGGAATTATTTGCATATTATTAGCATTATTACATGGAAATAAAGCTGCTGCTGGTTCTTCCCTCCCTCCATGTATCTTTCATCACCCGCCTTTATAAGGCTCTGAATCCTGTTTGTTGTGTGACAAACTGGGCTGATAAATCTCGTTACTCACTTCAATGGCTGGGAGACTCACTGCACATTACTGAATTTGGTGAATTATGTAATAAATGCATAATTAAAATTAAACCCAGAGCCTCTCGTGGAACCTCAGAAAATGCTGTTCATGATGAATTATAGAGAAACGTACATGGGTATTAAAATTTAAGCCTAATTATTTGGATTTATTTTTAATCAATATTTAATACTCTACCTATAAGTTTCTGCAGACCCACAGCAAATCTGTTGTTGTGGCTTTGCTGGAAAGCACAGAAAGTGTCTGTGCATGTGTAGAGTGAGGTGTTTGTTTTCATGGGGCTTCATATCTTAATATTTGATTACAGAAAGGAAAACTCCCCTGAGCACCATGAGCTCGAAAATTTTTTCAGCCACAGGAAATGTCTCTGAGGAGTTGGGTTTTTCCCAAGTCTTTCCCCACTTGATCACCTTTGAATATTGCCCAGAGAAGCTGTGGCTGCCCCATCCCTGGAATTATTCAAGGCCAGGGTGGATGGCATTTGGAACAACCTGGGGTTATGGAAGGTGTCCCTGCCTGTCCTTCCTGTGGCAGGGAGTTGGAACAAAATGACCTTTAAGGTCTCTTCCAACCCAAACCATTCTGTGATTGTGGTTTACTGGAGGAGAATCACAATAATATGAAATAATTTACTCAAATAAAACACTGCTTGGTTGCTCACTCATCAAATTGATATTAAAATAAACTGAAAATCTTTCCCCCAGTGAATTTCTGCCCTCTTAGTTCTTACTTAAAGGCAGCCGCTGTCAGGTTTAAACTTGAGATGTGCTAAAAACTTCCTGTCTCTGTGCTTAAAATGGGTTTTAGAGATATTTTCTTTGGAAAGAGAAGTGATGTTTTTCAGGCAAACAGCCTGCAAGTTTAATTTTGAAAGGTTTGTCTCTTAAGTAGCAAATTGAATAGAAGGGATTTGATTCCCCTAAATCCCCGATTCTAGAGAAAGCAGCTTGAGATCTCAGTAAGAGAATTAACACATGGGTTAAACTTACAATAAGAAGCAGGACTTGGAAAATGCCTATTCAGATGCCGTTAAGGAAATAATAGGATTAGTTCTTGTCGTGTCAGTGTGGATTCCTCAAACTGGGGGCTGTGCTGACACACAGCCGGGCTGTGTCGCTGGTCTGGCCGTGAAATTGGGGACAATGACAATAAAGATGACTCTTCTAGGAGACAAATTCCTTTGAATGTTTAAGCCTGTGCTTGTGTACATACACAGGGCAGGTAATTCGGGATGACAAAGGAGCCCCTAATAATCCCCCTCCCTCCCCAATGTGCTGTTTGTGGTTGAGGGGATGGTAATTGCAGCAGGGTAAGCGGTGAAAAAAGTCAGGAATACACCAGCAGTTCCTGTAAGCAGATTGCTGTTCATTTCTATCATCTGTTGTAAACACAATGTGTTTTTTTACCTGGTATTTTCATCCCTTTATCCCAATGTATATATATTTTAATGTATATACATTATACCCATCGTTTAAGGTAAAGCATTTTTGTCCTTTGTTTATATTTATTTATTTGTTTTCACGGTTCATTACAATTCAGAGTCCTGCAAAAAAGCATTATTTTCATTTTATTGTGTTTTCCATTCCATAATCATCCATGTGTGTCTTTGTTTTTAGCTTAAACCAAAGAGAACGAAGCATTAAGGCAGAATTGGGGTTATTTGACATCACCTGATTCCATCATAGAAGGAGCTGTAGGAGACCAGCGCTCTGGAAAACTTCCAAGAAAATGGTAATGAGTCAAAGAAAGGTTTCTGTTGTGCTGTCACTCTTCTCTTCTTGTCTTCAGACACAACTTCTGCCACTTTGCAAAGTTCCTCTTTCCTTTTCTGTGAGGTTTCCTCTTGGAAATAGTCCTGGGTATCCCGTAATTCCCCCAAAAATGCTTTGGGATCAGAGGGGAGTTTAGGCAGCATTGTACAAAGCCAAAAATTGCATGAGGAGTTGTGGCTGTCCTGGAAGTGTCCAAGGCCAGGTTGGATGGGGCTTGGAGCAGCCTGGGATGGTGGAAGGTGTCCCTGTCCATGGCAGGGGCTGGAACTGGATCATCTTTAGTGTCCCTTCCAACCCAAACCCTTCCCTGACTCTATGATTTTGTCATTCTATGATTCCATAACTAAGAATGAGATAAAGTTTTGTGTTGACAGGTAATTGGCAAATGTACCAAATTTCTCAGTAAATTCTCACCATAAAATTTATATATAATAACATAATAATACGATAATATAATAATATAAAAATTCCATGAGTGGAGGAAACAATGTGGGCACATTCTCAGGCTGATATTTCCCTGAGTTAAAAAAAAAAAAGAAAAAAGCCAAACAGCTTTACAGCTTGGTCTCTGACAGAGAGTATTTGCTGTGTTTTGGCACAGGATTTATTTAGGGGGTGTGTATGAAGCTTGGAGAGAGCTCTCTGCACATTTTGCAGTGGCAGCCGCTGACGCTGCCTCGAGTTGCAGCCAAGGCTGGGCTGGTTTCAGCTCCACGTGTGTTTTAGCTCAGTGTTACTCCATTCTGGAGTCGTTTTGTAAAGCTGAATGATCTCACAGATCTGGAGATTAGCAATATATTATCTCACTTAGCTTGCAATTCAGGACTTTAAGGAATTAATTAGAAAAGCTGCACTGAATGCACATGTGTATAATTGCATCAGGTTACTGTACCTATATTTTTCTTATCCTTGGACTGTTCTTGCTTGAAATCCTTCATTCTGCTCTGCTCTGAGCTGTTCCTTTCTTACTCACTAACAGGAGTTGCTCTGCTTTAACAAGAAGTGCTTATCCCTATTATATGTCTTTTAAAATGTGTCCATTTAAATTAATATTTAACAGAGCAGAGACATGTCTGTGGTATAATGTATCCACTTAGGGCTAATCGTTATTTGAGGTGATTGAGCCTCTCTTTGTACTTAATTTTTGTGCTTTTTATCCCGCAGAATCATTTGTAGATTTCAGTGTAAGAGCTGATTTACACCTCAAAGTAGACTATTTCTCCTGGAGCTCTGGGTTTATCAGTTACCAGCATCCTTTCAGCAGCAAAAAAAGGGAGTGTGGAAGGATCTCATCCCAACCCAGAAATCCCAACTCCTGTCCTAGTTTAAGGTGTAGTTACCAATCTATTGATACCTACCTGTACAGTTTCCTTCTTAAAGGCTTTGGAATGGTTAATTCACACTGCTGGGATTCTTTATTGCAGCTGAGTTCATTTGTCTGTTCCTTCACTGAAAGGGTGCTCAGGCTCTGGAGCAGGCTGCCCGTGGTGGAATCACTGTTCCTGGAGGGATTTCAAAGCCACCTGGATGTGGCACCTGGGGATGTGGCAGTTCCTGGCTGTGCTGGGGGAGCTCCATCACCTGAAAGATTTTTCCAACCTTAATGATTCAGTGATTTCAAGTGAGGGGCCCAGTCAGAGCTGCTGGTCTTGGCATCCTCTCAGTCACTGCCACTGCCACGTGTCCTCTCCTACAAATCCAGACCTTTTGACTTCTGCTTTGACTGGGTCTGCACCCCAGACACTGAACTTTGGTGGGATGAGCTCTGCCACCCCATCAGGGATCCCTGAACATCCTCTGTTTTTATTTCATCATTTAAGCTTTAATTGATTGATAATGGTTTAGTTAAGATTTGAGCATTACTATTTATTTAATTTTATTCTTTTCTCTTTTTTTGTTTTTTAGGTGTGAAAGGTTTTTATGGGTGGTGAGATGTTCCAGTGCTTGAATCAATCTATTTCCTTTAATAGGAAGTGGGAAGGAGAGGATTTTTTTTTTATAATTTTTTTTTTCTGTTGTTTGGTTTGGTTACTTTTAAGTTTCTGGAATATTATGTCAGCAGAGCTGATCCAGGTACAGAGACAGAGAATCATGAAATCAGACTGGTTTGGGTTGGAGGGGGCTTTAAAACCCATCTTGTTCCACCCCTCTGCCATGGGCAGGGATACCTTGCACTATCCCAGGTTGCTCCAAGCCTCGTCCAACCTGGCCTTGGACACTTCCAGGGATGAATGAAATGATTTTTAAGGTCCCTTCCAACCCAGTCCATCCCATGATTCCCTGATTTTCTAGAAGTTCATCAGAAATAACTGCACTCCCAGGATTTTTAACATGCTGTGTTCTCCCTCAGCCACTGCTGAACCCTCAGACAGAGCAGGGCTTTAACTCCCAGCCTGCTGTGTCTCCCGAGTTCAGACATCTCCGCAGAAGATTAAGCAAGTCAGAGAAATTAGCTTTGATCCCTTTCTGCCAGCATAGGATTATTCCACATCACACTGGGTTTGAAGTTCACGCCTAATCCAGTTTTACACGCCCCGGGGGACCGGGCTCCTCCCGGCTGCAGCCTCTGATTTAGTGGCACTTCCTTGATCCTGAGATTCAATTTGCATTCCCATTACTGCATCCCATTCCATCCCTGGGATCTGCCTTCCCGGGGCAGATGGATCCTTACCCTCCTGGTGCTGTTTTGGGTGCTCACTACATACATTAATATGCATTGATGGATATTTAAACCACACCCTTGCAGACAGCTCAGGTGTCCTGTGTGGAGCTTTTCAAGCTGTAGGAACAGATTTACATACAAAAACGCTTTGGAATGTCCAGCCTGGATCTTTGTACATGCAAACATCTGGTGTGAAACGAGATTCCAAGAGCCACCTGTGCAGAACTGATGCTGATCATGGCAAAGTGGAGGGACCTGTCCCATTCTTCAGAGATTTAGTGCTCAGTCCTCAGGGGTCTTTTATCACACTACATTTTATTTATGATATTTGTAACCCCATAAGTTTTCTTCCTAATAAATGTGTTTTTCAGACCAAAAAAATCCTTGTCTGTGATCCTTTGCAATGCCTTTGTACAGGCATTCAGCATCCTGAACATTTTCTGCTCAGACACGCATCAGGCATGGGGGTAGCAGAGCATTCCAGCTGTTTGAAGTCCCCAAAGGATGCATTGAAAAGTGACAGCATGTTTTGCTGGACTGACAAAAGCTCAGTTTAGCACCTGCATCACTCCCAGGGATCTTTCAGAAAGCACTGGATAGGTCAGAAATGTGGTTTATACACCAAAAATGGGGTTTAGAGGTAAGTGTTACAATTTCAAGTTTCTAGGGGTGTGGCTGTATTTTAGTGGGAAGCCCAGGAGATCCCAGAATGGAATTCTCCCTGCTCCTGCCCTGTGCCTTCCTTTCATACACACCTTATAACACTATTTAATTTTTCTTCAAGAACGCAGCATTCGTAGGAGAGACTTTTTAATGCTCTTGTAGCATGGTTGGCAGAGAATATCCCTGTTTTTCCATGCTGAGTTGCTTGGATTGCCCCTGCTCCTGCTTCTTCCTTCACTGGCAACAGCTCATTCAGGACCTAAATCCATCCCAGTGATATTTAATCCTGGAGTCACAGAATGGTTTGGGTTGGAAGGGACCTTAAAAATCATCTTGTTCCAACCCCCTGCCATGGACAGGGAACCATCCTTCTCCCCCAAAGCTGTCCTTGGCAGAAAATCATCATTAATCCTGATGGGAACCAGCAATTCCAGGGATTTCTCAGCACCCCTGCAGCAAAGGTGTTTTGGAATTTTCCTCTCATCATCCTAACAAGGCTTTGACTATACCAGGAGCACCCTCTACAAAAAAAAAAAAAAAAAAAAGATTTTTTTTTTAAGCACATCAGTTCTGGAAGGTCTCAAGGCTGTCAGAGTGACTTATCTGCTCTCCTCTGGAAATGGCATTTCTGGAAGGCTGTGGCGGATGCTGCTCTGGCAGTCTGGGCTGAATCCTGCGGAAGGGCTTGAGGAGATCCATCAGATGCCCTACTTAATTTAAAATATTTAGAGTTTTTTTTTTATAATTTTTGTTTTGTTCTCTTCACTGTAGTAAAATTATTTTTACGACCCTTTGGGTATTACCTGCTTTTATAAATCTTTCTATAATTAAATTTACAAATCCGCCTGCGAGCTGGTGATGTGTAAAACCTTGCAAACAGGACCTTTTGTGTGTTAACCTATATTTATGTTACTTTTATTCCTTCTGGCAGTAATTATCCTGGCTCTAGGCCTAGGATTAATCTATAAGATGCTGAACATGCTTGAATTTTTTCCCCCCTTCTCTGTGGCAAACTCGTCTTATGCAGAGCAGGGCATTTTTGAAACTGCTTCCTATGAAGTGGTTTCAGTGCTGCCCCTCCTCAGTGATTCACAGGAGGAGCCATGGCCCAGGTGAATTGATCCTGGGCCATGGCTATGGGAAGGGGAAGTGATTCAGCCTGGGTGAGTTTGGTGCTGGGCTGTTCCTGAGCCTGGTGATGCAGCTTTGGCTGCCTGGCCAAGGGACTGTCACTGTCCCTGCTCTGCAGGACTGGGGGGACAAACTGGGACAGGGCTGGGGGTGCTTTGAAAGCTGGACAGGGGCTCCAACTCTGGTCTGGTGGGGCTGGAACTTCTATGCCATGGACAACAGACAGCTGAACAAGAGCCAGGTGTGCCTAGGTGGCCAAAAAGGCCAATGGCCCATGAGCTGTCGCAGGAAATGTGTGTGCAGCAGGAGCAGGGCAGTGTCTGTCCCCTGTGCTGGCACTGCTGGGACACCTCCAGTGCTGGGGACAGCTCTGGGACCCTCAGAATGAAACATTGAGGGGCTGGAGCACGTCCAGGGCAGGGAACAGAGCTGGGGAAGGGGCTGAAGCACCAGGAGAGGCTGAGGGAGCTGGGAAAGGGGCTCAGCCTGGAGAAAAGGAGGCTCAGGGGGCCCTTCTGGCTCTGCACAACTCCCTGACAGGAGGGGACAGCCGGGGGGTCGGGCTCTGCTCCCAGGGAACAGGGACAGGAGGAGAGGGAACGGCCTCAAGATCCCCAGGAGACATTAAAGTTGGATATTAGGAATAATTTGTTCACCAAAGGGGCTGTCCAGCCCTGGCACAGCTGCCCAGGGCAGTGGTGGAGTTCCCATCTCTGGAAGGATTTAGAAGCCCCATGGATGTGGCACTTGGGAACACAGATCATTGATGGCCTCAGCAGTGCTGGGAAATGGTTGATCTTCCCTGATTGTGTTAATTTGCCATGGTCTTGAGGTCAAGGTGCTGCAAGATCCTTAAAGAAATCATGGAGGGTTTGCACCCACCTTAGAATACATCAGTGCAACATTTATTCATCCTCTCACCAAGAGTTCAGGGACATCAAAGAGAGGCACCAGCAGTTTCTGGAGACAAGAAAATGGTGTTTTCTGGGTGTCATGTGAAACAAGCACAGCCCCAGGCATGGGAAATCCATAGATTTCCTACAGCTGGGGAAGGAAGCTCTGGTTCCCCCATCCCTAAAAACATTCGGGATCAGGTTGGGTGGATCTCTGAGCAGCCTCATCTGGTTGGAGAAACAGGAGGTTAGAAGGCCTTTAAAAGCCTTTTCCAACCCAAAATCCTCCCTGTCACATGTCCTCTCCTCCTCCTCTTGAGCTGACAGGTGCTGACCCAACCTGCTCCATCCCTTTCCCTATCCCATCCTTCTCCCCACTGTGGGTGGATGAGGAAGGAGCTTGTGAGAAACTCGGCTGCAGCATCATCCTCTGGGGGGTGGGTCATGGCTGAGCTGTCCTTGGGGACTGTCCCCTTGGACATGGGAGCCATGTCCCAACAGTGGTGGCCTCAACAGGTTCATAACTGGAAGCCTCAGCCTTCCTGGATCCCCAGATCGATGCAGCCCCGGGCTCTTTCCTGCTGTGTCAGAGGAGCTGCCGTGGGCCGTAGCAAACTTTGCCCATCGGGAATTTTTTCCTTAGAAAACCTTTCTGGAGTCATTGATTTGCAGCATGTCTGAGCCAAATTTAAGCATGGAGCCACAGAGATCTGAATTTAGCTGTGCTGGCTGTTTTCCCTGGGAGGAGGGATCACAGGGATGGATTTGATTGCCTGGGAAAATTAGTGTTGATTTCAGTGAAGAATATTTTATTACAGTGTTTGCATTGGCATTGTCTTCACAGGATAATGGCTGAGAGTTTCCTGTGTTTCCTGTGCTTGTGTGTATTTAATAATTTAATCTATTCCTTCTGAATGCTGGCTTGGACTAGAAAAAAAAAAAAAAAAAAAAAAAAAAAAAGCACTGGCTGCCTACTCTTAATATCCCATCATAAAATAAAATCACTAATCCCAAAGGTGGAGTTGCAATTAAAAAGAAAGAAAACCAGCGTTGAAAAGTATTGAAACTGAATAATATGGTCTAAAATAGACACTGCCTGTGGTGTTTGCTTC